GATGGCTAGGCTGCCCTTTGAGTGTGTGCTCACACAGCACAAAGGACCAGGGTGGGGAAAACCTGGAAACAAAGCCTTTGGTGGATGAGTAAAGAAGCCATGCCTCCCCCTCATATAAACCACTCCCACTCTCACCCCAGTTTCAGGGTCTGTGTGCAGAGACAGGTCCTTGCAGAAGAGCTCTGCTTCAGGAAGGGTTTATGTGAGATAAAGTGAACAGAGGAAAATACACAAGTTTTTTCTTCTATGCAAAAATCCCACAGAGAACTCCTAAATACAGACCAGGTGGATCTACAGGGTCTACAGTTACTTTTTACCTTCCCCAGGTCATGACATGGGACACATCAACTATTTATCTAATTTCTCCTTCATAACATGGTAGATTAGCAGCATAGAGGGGATTACGAGAGACTCGTTAAAGCCTTCACTTTATAAATGAGAATAAATATCCTGCAGTGATGAAGTAACACAAAGGACTTGAGTTTGTATAACTAGCACTGATGGAGGACAATTCAAATTCTGGTTCCCCCAAATCTTTAAATCACCACTGATGATCTACTGTAGACTATGTGCAATTCACCCCAGGTCAATATCACTTGAGGCAAATGGTCTAAAGGGATTTTAGAAGTTTTATCATTACAAAAATATGAAGATTAATCCTCCGTGTGCACATGTGTGTGTGTGTTTAAGTTAAATCTGTAACCAAGGACATATGCCTCAATCGCCCAACAAAAAGCTCCCTCACTCAGGAACTATGGTAAGGAGCAAAACATTTGGGCCATGCTTTGGAAGAGGGGATTGATTCTGCTGTAGTGTTTGGGGGATATGCACATCTCTGGTAAACCTTCAGCTAAGCCTGGGCTCGGCAACAGTTATCAGCTATAATGTTATCTGAGTCCAAAGAACCTCACACATGAGAAGCCTCTGTTATCACAGCCAAAGGTTACACACGCTGCTCATGGCTGGATTAGCAGACATTTGCTCTGCCTGTGTCCACGTATTTACACAGTCCTGGAGGATTATGGACTGAAGCACAATTCTTGGCTATTTTTTAATAGCTAATGTTTTCAGGATAAAGCTCAGGGATCCCTCAGGAGAGAAAAAAAGTAAGCTTGAAATGTAAAATTTAGCAGAAAAAATGTTTGAACATCCAGGAAGGGGAAAGAGCCCTAGGAGGATCACAGGAAAGCAGGAGAGCAAATTTCTGTCAAAGAGGAAAATTAGGTGATAAAGAGATTATTCATTAAGAGAGTGGAAATAAGAGCTTTCAAGATATTTGGACGGCAGTCGCTACTTAGTAAAGTAGATCGAGTACCTGCCAGAAAGTTTTTCAGTGAAATCATTCATTGGTTATTTTAATTAAAAATATGACTACCAACCAAAGAACCTGCAGCTGTGGGCTATAAACGAAGTACTTAAAGTGCATTACACTGATTAATAAAAGGACTCTGATTAACCTTGCTGACTAGGGAATTTCATACCGAAGAGATAAGTATGATATTCTGCCCATATCATTAATGAGCCAAGGCTCATACATCTCAAAGAGAATCAAAATGTATACTTGGAAAAACCTTTGGAAACAGACTTAAGGATGTGCATGTTTCCACTACGGAGATGACCAGTGAGAACCACTATGAATAGATTTTGAGTTTCCTTAGAGACCCTGCTTTCATTCCAAATACTTCATACTTGGCTCATAATGAACTTTCTATCACTGACATCCTTCACTATTCAACTATTTATTGCATTTGGCGCTTAAACTTTTCATCACGTCATTTCCTTTTTAAAGTGGTGATCTTGCAGATGCAGTCTCCCTTGCTGGTTTTGCTTTTAAGACCCGTAACTCTGCCCTTCTCTGGATCATATCTCAAATGCTAATCGGCATGTTTTTTATGTTTGATTTCCAAAGTATGAGACAGAGTTTTTTTTTAATTATTAAAACATAATTTTACGTGAAGCTTTGGTTATGAAATTTCAAATGACTTGAAAAAATAAACTGAGATCACTATTTAACATTAAGAATCATTATTAGGTGCTGGGGGTAAGTAGGATCCATAGTTTGAACATGAGCTCTGGAAGTAGTTTCTAAATCAGTGTTCTCTGTCATACGATTAAGAGAAGCTACGTGAGGTGATGGACCCTTTGTCTCTGGGGGAAGCAAAAATGCATTCTCCGACACTGTGTTCTGCCTTCCTCGCAAAAATTCACATTTTTTTTATTTGTGTTGGAGGTTAACTTTTGATTATTCATGTGCTAATTAGATTGTGGATTTGGGGGAATAATGTTTAGATCCTAAGTTGATCTTCTCATCAAAAGAGTTCTGAGTTGCCTTTCCAAAACTGATAAGCTGACTTTCATACTGACTTTACACATTGATTTAGGGGAAAATTAGTTCACTTTTTGAAATACTAAGTGAAATAACACCACACATCCTAAAAGAAATAAAACTGGCTTGGGATTAATGGTAGCACTATTAAGTCTTCCACAGAACAATCCACTGTTGAATATAGCTATTAATTATGCAAGCAAATATCAAACAAGTGTGATGTTATTGATTTTACATGTTGTCTTGCTTGTTAAGCCAAAATAACAATAATCTGAAGATTTCCACACTTAAAAAAAAAGTCAGTCCATTCTCTTTCTACATCTGGATGCTGGTGATGCTGGTTACATAGGTTTGCTTATTTTTTGGCAAGGAAGCAAAGTTCACACTTATGATTTATATACTTTTCTGTACAGAAATTTTCAAAAGTGACTTAAAAAATCTAAAAAGCAGAGTGTAACAGTTCAATAGCATTCAATATCTAAGCAGTCTGCTATGATCGAAATAGTCTTAGAAAGTTTAATTCAGCCACGTATCTTTCAAGGCCACACAGAAATGGGCCTCATTCCTTAGAATTGTTCAGAAAGGAGCTAACACTACCTAACTGCACTAACTAACCCATGCACAGCCTGCTTAGGTTTGCAGTATTTCTTGGGAATTCCTCTGTGTTTTAGGAAATTGATAAAACCTCTTAGATCTACTTCACTTGGCTAGCAAGTAGGATTCTATTTATACTTCCGTTCCAACTGAAATATCCAAAGGTTGGATAATTAGCATGGGAGATACCAAAAAAAATTGAAGAAACTTTGAAAACAGATGACACTTTAATCTGGGTTAAGATTTAAAAGATATATTCAAACTAAATGAGGAGTAAAAGTAGTTTTTTTCTATACACACTCATGTATGTGCACATACATGCTCACACATGCACGTGCACATACCCTCACACAGAATTTCTGTATGAACCCTAAAGATATGACCCTGTGTGCTATTATTTCTGTGAGTACATCTACCTGGCATGCGTAAGAATGGAACTGTTCTCCCCAAAGGGTGCAATTTGCTGTCTTCCTAATTGAAAGCCACATCCTAAGTCCTAACACCATGAAAACAGCCATTAGCGTGAATGAAAATTCAGCTCTGTGAGGACCATACCCATCAGCTCAGATTGACAAGAGAGAATTTAAAATGCATTTTCTTCTCATTCAGGGGTGCTGACACTATTGAAAGCAAGAGAAACAACACCCTTCTTCCTAGGAGCCTACCCCTGAGATTTCCTTTCTTATAACCTCAGAAACTCTCTGTGATCTGTATAATTCACTATGCTCAAAAGTCTTCACAACTCAGGGCAAATAAATTACCTGCTAACTTAGATCTAAGTTATTTTACATTAGGTGCAGATATAACTTTGAAAAAGAAAAAAAAAAACCTTTAAAACGTACTTAGCATTTAAAACAGTCTTTCACTGAACAAATTCTTAAGCTGAAAGTAATCTAATTATAGAGTGTACACTTTCTTTTTAACAGAGCCCATCAACCACTTTTTAAAAAACAGACCACTTCTTTATCTTGCAGTCAAAATAGCAATGCCAATTTATTACAAAGCCCTTAAGTAAAAAATCACAAACACAGAAGCTGGCCTCAGTATTCAGTCCTTCCTTCAGCACTGACAACCAGAGGATAGTAAATTCGTGTAGAAATGTACACCATTAACACTAGTATCTGCAAATTGACGGTGTCGATGATTTATATATGAATGGAAAGTATTTTAAACATGAAAAAGTATTACTATTTCTCTCTTAATGCTACACACAAGACCTTATCATCTATTATGTTTAAACAGAAGATATTGAACATGGTGTTTGTTTGCAGTTCGCTCACCAGATGGCCTCGCTACTCAAGTTCCCCCATTAACTAGCTGATTTTGGAAATCAGAATTAGCGCGCTTCCAATTTATTTCTGATTTATTAAGCATAGGTTCCAGAAAACCCTTTGATAAAAAAATTCCGCCATAGTTTTTATTACCCCTAGCTCTTTATAAGGCAAATATTCGGTGTTAAGCATATCTACAATTTGGATCTATTATTGTAGTTAAGGAAGAAAGTTAACTTTTTGGTTTCTCTGAGTTCAGCTTTTGAACTGACCTGGGCAGAAAACTCATTAAAATGATGAGGACATAAGGTGCATCAGCACAACTTTGTCCATCCATCAACCCTCTAAAAGAGGCAAAATCCTTCACCCAGGTGAACATTAAGTTGATGTCTTTAAGTGGCTAAGTTATTAACAGAGAATTAGCAACCTGTCCCCAAGTCAGCCACACTGTCAGCATTAGAACAGATCTCAATAGTTTGTTTAATTTTAATCTAGATATATTTTTCTTTATTCTATGCTGTTATAAGCAGAAGAAAAGTACTTAAATATGATTGTCCGAGAATTCAAATTCCAGGCACAGGGTAGAAAAAGAAAAGGACAGAAAAGAAATACACACACACACACACACACACACACACACACACACATATAAAAGTTCATAATATGGTCTAGTTTAAAAGAAAGAAAATAAAATAAAAATAACTTTCAAATACATACTTAAAGAAACAGTAAGAACTACTGCCTTAGAATGTACATTTTTTAAAAACCCATTTTCTATCAATTTTACAATTACATCTATATTTTTTTACCTTGTTTATAAGATGCCAAAACCATATTCTCATCTTCAACTTCAAAAACTGTGTCCACATCTATTTGCCTTTGGATTAAAATGGCCTTCAATTTTCCAAAGTCATTTGACTTTAGAGCTTCAAGGAAATTTTTCTTAACTAACTTGGCAGCTGCAGATTTGGTGATAGGGGCTGCGGTGCTTTCCATCCTTGCTCTCCCTCTGGAAGCTTTGTTGTGACTTATCAGGAGAGCGGCACCAAGCAAACAGGCACATGCTGGAGAGCCCACAAACTGTCGGCTAATTTTATCCCAAAGTTATGCTGATCCGTTCTATTTATATAGGGATCATTTCAAACTTCAAAATATCCTTCTTGGCTGTCACTGCATTTTCAGGTCATTTTAAACTGCTTCTATACTAACTGATTCATTGAATAACATATCGTGTCAATATGAAGGAAAATACCATTGCAATATATTTCAGAGAATGAAATGTCACTGTTATTATTTCTTATGTGATCAAAGTAATAATGTAAGATTTAAAAGCTCTTAATGCTTTCTTTTTCCCTCAGTAAAAACATCTGGTGTCCAACTGGCGATTCAGAGTCTTGCTCTGATTAACAAATAGCAAAAATGAAAATTTATTACAGTTGCTAATCCATACGCTTCTGAAAACCTATAATTTTGTAACATGAGCCTGCAAAATTAAGCATGATCACACGTATTTGAAAACAAACTTTAAGTGGCCTAGATGTGAAAAATGTCAATGTCATGAAAGAAAAGGGTGTGGGGTGTGGTGACAGAGGACTCTTTTAGGTAAAAAGAGACAAAAAAGCTAAATGCAGTTAATGGATGGTCTTTATTTAACCCTATTTTAAATGATCGATTAGAAAAGACTATACGGGGGCAAACTTGGAAATATGAATTTGAATTAGAGATTATTTGATAATATGGAATCAGCATTCATTTTTTAAGGAGTAATAAAGGTATTGTGGTTACACAAAAGAATATTCGTATTCATAAGTGATACATATTAGGGGTACATTGTCAGGACACCTATAACTTCTTTTCAAATAATTCAGGGATAAAAATATAAAATGTACATGTGTACAGTATGTGTCTAGATGCATATGTGTGTGTAAAAAGAAATTGAGAAAGCAAAGGTGGAAAAAAATTGAAACTTGTTAAACTTAATGAAGTATATATGGGTGTTCATTGTGTTATTCTTACGGTTATTCTGTAAGTTTGAAACTTCTCAAAGTAAAAAATTAGAGAAATAAATACTCAATTTTAAAATGTACAATCATTAACAATTAGAAAAGGAGTAGTAGCAAGTGTTAATTCAGAATACAAAGAAATGGGGCCTCCCTGGGGGCACAAGGGGTTAAGCACAGCACTATTAAGCAATCTGCAGCCTCTGCAGCATGAGTTCCATCCCTGACCAGCCAGGGAGCAACCCTCATGGCACAGCAGACTTCTCCTGATGAATCCTCTCACCCCTCTGCACCTCTGGCCTGTACCCACCAGCTCTTGTATGCATAAATAAATAAATCTTTAAAAAAATACAAAGAAATGGGAGTTCTAATTGGTGCAAATTTTCTATAATTAGCAACCTGTATTTTTAAAAACTTTAGATGATGACAATATTTGATTTTCAGAATTTATCTAAGGATGTAAACAAAGAAACAAACCATAACATGATTTTAAAACTTATTTCACTGATGTGTAACATAAATACAAGAAAATAACAAGCCATAAATATAAATTTGCCAAATTTTCACAAAGTGAATGCAGCTGTACAACCAACACCCAGGTCGAGGTAAAGAAAACTTGAGCACACTGGAACCTCCTTGATGTTCCCTTCCAATCAATACACTCACTTGCCCCCATCACAACCATTATATTGGTATCTAATACTCTAGATTGATTTTGGTGTTTTTTATTTTAATTTTGTATTACTTAATGTTTAAAGTTTATTTTAATATTCTTAACTTTTAAATCTTCAAGAAGATAAAATATCAAGCTTAACATGTATTAAATATTTGTCCTGGAAAAGATGGGAAAATAAATAAAAGAGTACATTTGGATGATTACACTGTTAATAATAGTAAAAAAAAATTGGAAGCAACCTAAATGACCAAAGGTAGAAAATTTAAGAAACAAATTACAACATATCCATATAATAGAACACTCTTCAGTCATTATGACTAGATAGATCAACGTATTTTTTTTAAACTCTGTAAGATAAGCAGTTTTTAAGATCGTATGTGTTGTATGAATATCTTTTTAAGGTATCTGTACTTACTTGTGCTTATTAATATAAAATTCACATATAATTATAATCATTATAATATATAACATATTAAATTATATACTTTATAAATGTATAAAGAGATGTATGATTTCCATACTTAGGAAGAAACTCTGCAAGCATGTATCCTCAAATATCTTCTAGTAGTGAGATTACAGCTGTTTTTTTCTTTATCTTTCTTATTTTCTGAATTCATTTATTACAAGCATATATTACATTTGTGATAAAAAATGTATTTCTGTACTGAACATTTTAAAAAGATAACTTGCTAACTCGGAGTAACTACCTATAGATTCCATGAAGTAAGGAAATAAATCATTCTCATATGTTCAGCATCTAGCATGAATGTATGAATGAATAAGAATTATTCACTGATTATTTATAATGTCCTTAACATTGTGCATGGGGGTTCATGAGACACTGTTCCTTTTAATGTCCACATATGTCACTCAAATATGGCATTAATTTATATCTTCTGTCCCTTTTTGACAAAACTAAAATTTAAAAAAGCATTCTTACTAGGGGAAACAGAAAGGTCCGGGGGTTTTCATCAGAGGATAATTAGTGCTATAAAAGGTCATCAAAATTGACTCCACTAAAAGTGAAGACCAAATTTCACAAAATGGGAGGAAATTTCTTTTTTGACTTATCTTGAAAATTAAAACCAAGGAATTATGGGAAACATTTTTTCATCATTTAGGTTGACAGCAATTGTGTATAGTTCATAGAAGTAAAAAAATATTTACTGTTTTCTGAGGAAGATCATTTTGTGATCCAATTTTACAGTGACATGACGCAATAGCCTTTACTTATCAAATGACTTTTGTCAAATTAATATAAAAGGATCACGTTTACAAAAATATTCAAGAACTTCATTAGTTTTGCTAAGGCCCTCTCTTCATTCTTGGATATTCCAGTGACATTCTCACTCAATGACTGGAATTCCCATTGAAACACTTACCAAATCCTCATGTTTTTTCAGGCTGTTCTTATTCAATTATTAACAGAAATAACTCTGCCAAAACCTCATTAGTAAATAGTTTTGTATGTGACTTGGGCAGTTTTCCAACATTTTCATCAACTTCATGAAATCTTACCTCATTTGCAGAATTTGCAATTTCATATTGCAACAGACATCAGAGAATCAAAGTGAGATACAGACTCCATAGTCAAAGGTGTATTGACATATTTGAGTTTTCCACCTTGTGACCTTAGAGACCAAGATAATGAATAATCAGTTAATAGGCCCCATAATTCTTAATGGCAAAAGAGTTTTAAATCTAACCCTCAATTCTAAGTTCTACATTTTCTGCTTTCAGGAAAATACAAATGAATTAAGGACAAGGGTGGAAAATACTGATGAATATTGAGAAGAAAATATAATCTTGGTTCACAAAGCAATTCACTCCATTATTAGAAAATCAGTCAAAAGTTACTTTGTTCCATTGAGTCAAGACTTTTCTATCCATAATTTCTTCCCAGTGGGTTTAATCATGAACATGCAATCATACATTTATTCTAGACTCATCCTTGATGAAGGTCTTTTTAACATTTGAAAAGAACATCCTAGCTCTCATCAATCATTTGTTCCTCAATTATTGTCAACTATTCCTTATTTTAGATGATTTATAGAATCCCTTTGCCCTGCTTGTTTTCTTCTGGATCATCTCTAATTTATTGATGAATGCCTCTCTTCAATTTTTGTGCCTAAAATGGAACATAATATTCCCAGGGGGAGGTAACAAGTACTGATTAGGATGGATGACTCTAGGGATACCCTACCCTTGTTGAAATTGTATTGGAACTCTCAGGAGGCTCTTTGCAAGTCTGACCTATGTTATTATTATTGCTGCTATTCCTTCAACAACAAATACCTGTCTAGGACCTTCCATGTGTCAGACATTTATTTTGAGTACTGGAGAGAGAAATCAGTGAACAGATAATAGAGTTCAGCTAATGGATTTAAGTGTTGATGGAAGTCCCTGTATCTTTCCCATCTTCTGTGTACTAGAACTTGTTACAAAGTTTCAAATTCACGGAATTCCATACAGAAATATCTCTTGCTTATATTAATAGATGTGATCTCCCTTATGGGTTTTTCCACTTAGTTAATGGCAAAGGGAAGGGCAACTTAATTTACTCCAATCTGGTATGTTTAGTCTGACCTATTTTTGGAGGGTGGAAGAAACTTTATTATCTGAATCCTTTGGGCATGGTTCCTTGAAACACGAAAGGAGACACGATTTAGAACAATCTCCATTTTTTAATGCCTAATTTTCACAACTATTGTCTTTCTAAAAGTTAGCATTGAGATTTAAACACAATCACAGGTCAATTACTCCTAGGATGCTCTCACACTTTTTCCCTCAAGACTCAACCCTGAAGGCTGAAGGCTACAAAAGAACACAACTTAAGAATGAAGTAAAAAAGCATTGCTTTAATGTTTGCAAATAAAATTTTAACCTAAAGAGAGGACTTTTTCTTCTCCTGAAGAAGCTATTTCAGTCCTATTCCATAGCTGTAAAAAGAAATAAATCTAAACTTTGTGAATTAATTTGAGAAAACAGCACATTTCCATGAAGAAATGTTTAAAAATGAAAAAGCTATTTGCATTATTTTGTTAAAAATCAACTCAACCAACTTATCTGAGCAGCAGAGGATAAAACTAAGAGATTATTATTTGCACTTACAAAACAAATAGCAGTTTAATTAAATTGCCTATCAAAGTCATTCTAACATATAGGAAGTGGTGTGACCAATGTTAATAAAACAGATTTGAGACCTGTCTGTATTATCCAGAATACTGCTTCAAGTCACCATCTCTCAAAGCCTCAAGAGGCCAAATTACACAGTGGCCATGTTTCACACTGTCTATTCAGGCCTGTCAGAAAGTCCTGTCTTCTCAGTGCTTAAAAATGAAACTTTCCATCCCCTAAGATGAGTTTTTTATTAGTGTTTCATGACATGCCCAAGACAGTGTCCTCTGCTCT